TCTAAAAAAAATATGTCTGTTAAACAAATTTGAAATATTAGAATATGAGCGTTAAACGAAAATCTTTAGAAAACTTTGAAAATATTTTTGATTAGGGTTACCAACTATTCGAAAAGTCATATCTACATATGTTTGTATATATATGTACGGGTAATACGTTAGGGCATTTTTTGAGAAGGTCATCAGATCTGCACCGTTCTTTCGAATTTCAAAAAAGAGATGTCAAATTAAAGAGCTTGGATTTTTTTTTTTCGAAGTTGAAACTTTTTTTCACTGTACAGCGTGATTTTAAATTAGTAAAACCAACACCATGCGAGACCTCTACATTTGACATATGTTTCAGAATTTCGAAGACGGGTTTCACCTGTTTCAATTATTCGATATCAAAACAGCCGTGCAGTTTCACTAGTAGAAATTCCATTGCCATTCCATTCGTGGCCTTAAATTATTTCCTAATTTTTCCTTAGCTCGGTCACACAATTTCGCAGCGTTGCCATTAAATCGACAATACAAATAAATCATTTCAATTAATTACCTGGCCAAAGTCGATAAATATTGCATTATAAAATTAAAAGCAATTTAAAACCGCTTCCAAAGACAGCTAGAGATACTGGATACTTTACAAAAAGCGCACAAAATTAAATACCAACACACATGGCAAATAAATTCCGTGCAATATTGGCAGTAAGTAGCATGTGCACCATGTATTGTGCATTTGAAATAAATTATGTCACAATGTCGAAGTGGCCTTCACACGGCGACAAAAATTAAAAAACACAAAAACAAGCAAAACAAGCAAACTAAACACGCGAATGCAACTAAACGTGCTTGATTTTTAAAAGGTTAGACAAAAAAAAAATAAAAAAAGACTATACATTTTTCCATGAAAGCAGAGCAATCAACACTTGAAATGCGATTAAATATTCTCACAGTGTAGAGAAGCGATGTATGTAGTTATTGCGGGGCTCGGCGAGCACTACCTGCAAACGTATCGATTTAAGCAAACGTAATGAAAGTAAATAAAGTGAGCATAAATCGTATGTACATATGTATATACATATGTACTATGTTAATAAGGACGTTTGTACTATAGTTTGAGCGTATTAAACTGCGGTAATTGCGTACTTAAGTAGCGAGCGCTTTTAACAATTGAAACTTTGATTATTTGCTATATGTTTGTACCTAAGTATGTATATATGTACATATGTATGCATACAAATTTTTTTAGATTACACAATGCAAGTTTATTTAAGCTACTTAGGGCCGTTTTCTCAAGTAACCCGTAAGTTTAAAGCTCACTTTATATATAAAGGTTGCATTAAAATTTATGATTGTGTCCAAAGTAAAGCTTTTTATAATCTGTTTTAAATTGGTTTACAACAAAGAAACATACATACGTCATAAACTGATAATAGAAATACTTAACTCTACACATAGCTTTACTTTTAATCCAACCTTTAAACATAAAGTGAGCTTTAAACGTAAAGGTTACTTCAAAAAACGGCCCTTAGACGTCTGCTGTTGATAACTTTTGCCACTTAGTTATTTGTTGTTATGAACTCGTACTTTGCCAACACACGCCAGCAAATGAGGAAAATTTTTATTCATGCATTTGTACCTGTATTTGTACTTTATATTGTGAATTTTATCTTTATATACTCTTTCACTCGCATAACTTTTAGTTTTCGTCACAGTACATACATACATATATGCAATGTAATACATAAGTTTGTGTCCGTCAGCCGAACTCTGTTAAATGATTTATGCCTTATGTGGCAATATGCCAATACTTAACCATTTTGGCCCTACCAATTCAAGTAATGTAGACGACCTTCGCACACGCTTAAGTAGTATATAGAATAAAAGAGAAACCCAAACGTGAACAAAATCAAATAAAGACAAAACAGGAAATTATTTGGCATAAGTAAAGAACTAAAATTAAGTACATACATACATTTGTACAAACATATGCATATATATGTATGTACATTAGACCGCACCAACTTATAAGTAAGCTAAAAAAAAAAAAAAAAAAAATTGCCGTACACCCCTGAGTAATGCAGAGTATTTTGGCAAGGCAAGGTAAAACAAGAATTTTGTTGGCCGAAACTAGGGGAATTTTTTTTTCATTTTTTTCGTGACACCTATGTACATTCGGCAATAAAAAATATTTGATTAGTTCTATTTGAATAAGCGAAATACTTCCTTAGCAAAAGTTTAATGATTTTTGGTGTGTTTTAATTTACTGACATTAGAGTAGTACGTTAGCGTGAACAGAAAGGAGATCTCGTGGGTAAGTACTAGAACGGGGTGGTTGAGGTCAAGGAATTTTGGTAAAAAAAAATCGATATATCATACTTTGAGATCCGACTGTAAGTACCGAAAATATGAAGAAAAATGTTCAATTTTTTCGAAATTGTATTGAAAAAAAAAACTTAAACAGCGAATTTTTCTTTTTTTGGCACGGTCTAATGTGCCAACATATGAGCGCGGCTAGTTGCTCGTGATGTAAGTGTACCTACATATAAACATATGCACACATCTACTATTTAGAAGGGGTATTTCATGGTGAGCTTGTTGATAAATGGTTTAAATTAACCACTCTATACATACGTGCATACATATGTATACCGATTTAATTAAATTGATTAAACGATGGAAAGGTCTTATTAAGATAACAACAAAATTTAATCGAATTTATAAAAAAAATTAACAAAAAATTAAGACTTACTTTCAACACAAAAAACGTACGAATAAAGAAAAAAAGCTAAGTTAAAAATTGCAATAAAATAAAACAGTATGAAATGAAGTTAAATAAGCACATGAAGCGAAGTGAATTAAAAAGTTAAACTCAAGAATTGAAGAATCGAAATAAAAAATACAAAAATAAATTAAAAATAGAAATATATAGCAACTTTAATAAAACAGTCTCTTTTGATTTTTATTTTTTCAATCATATTTATTTTTATTTATTTATTTATTTTCCACATAAAAGTATATTATGTTCAGTACATGGATATACTTATATGAAATCCTATAGGAGGTTATAAGCCTGTACAATAGGCGGAATTACATACATATTACATGTAACTGTTATTTTCAGAATTATTTTAAGTAAAAACTTAGCAAAAAAAGAAACTTGAAAAGATGGACTAAATAAAAAAAAAATTAAAAAATAAGAAATAAAATAAAATTTTAAAAATAGCATTTCTAAAAAAATCACTAATTACACTACTCAAGATTTTCAACATTATATTTCGTCAAGGAATACTCATTTCTAATAGATTTTGGACTGCTGAATTCGAACCTGAACTCAGAATTGCTCTGTCGCCTTAGGTTTTTTAAATAACCTAAACTAAAAATGCGGTTTCGGCCTATTTTTAAGCTTACGTAGGATAGCGACACTTTTGTTACTCGAAAAAAATAATTATCCTCGGTTTCAGCAAACAATTTTAAAATTTATCAGACTGTTAAAATTTAAAATGACAAATTTTACGAACAAAGTTGTGTCATTTTAAATTTTAATTAAAGATTGCTGGAATTTATTCTTTTCTTCGAGCAATATGAATGGAGAAAAGTCCTTGCTTATGAGCGTTCGGAAAAATGCAGCGTAGTAGTTTAAAAATTGCAAAATAAAATTTCTCGATTGAAAAATAAGATATTCGAGCAATCGTAAATGCTTCGTATAGTTTTTAACGAAACAAAACCGTCGCAAAGCTAAATAACCTCGAAAATATGCCAAAACTGAATTTTTCAAAATTTTTAGGTTAGGTTATTTAAAAAATCTGATATGTTAGAGAAATTTCGAGTTCAGATTCGAATACAGTTTCTGTTGGAAACGGCTAGTCTTATCTTAGATAAAATTTTAATGCCGGACTGTGTTTTCAGGGGCTTTGACCAACGAGCTTTAGAAAAGGTTTGATGTACTGACTGTATTAATTAAAGAATAGTGATCTTAAGAACGTCTGAGCGTCAACATAATGCATAATATTTATGTAAAAAAGTTCATTGTTTTTCCAATTAAAATCACTATTTATTTCAATTTTTTAAATTCTGGAAAGATGTATTGAATATAGAAAATAGTTTAAATCCTCATATTAGGGACTTACATACATACATACTTAAGTACATATGTAGCGAAATATGTAATTAAATTTTTAACAAAATGTACTAGCAAATACAAAATCTGTAAGCTCTGAAAGTATTAAATAGCATACAAACGACGGCGGAATAGGTTGAACGAAAAAAAAAATAAACATAAATTGCGAAAGCTTAGAAATCTTTATGCTGCGCCATCAAGGTTGCGAAAATAAAAACAAATAAAACGATAAAACATAAAAATTAAAAATATTTGAACACCAACGCATGCGCATAGAAGTGAGGAAATTGCCAAGTTTTTATTAAAGCTGCTGGGCACTTATGGCATTACGTCATTTTATTGGCAGGCAGCGATGAAAGAGCAGGCAAAAGCCCTTGCCGCGCATCCCCAAAAAAGCCCCCCCAAAACATAGAAAAATAAGTAGATACACAAACAACCTCCGTTAAAAAACCACAGACGGGTGATATAGAGACATTTCAGTACATACATATGTACATACTTACATACTTATGTATGTATATGTATATCACGCCCTCATAACGTGCCCCTCCACACAACTAAAGGCAAAAGAAACAAACACTTTAAGCACTTTAACAAAGTTTTCTTTCGAAAAGCAACAAAAATTAAATAAATCAACTGCGAAACTGTTATGTATGCAGCATAAAGTATATGTATGTATATTTATGTACATATATACATATGTATGTATGTACATAGTTATATACATCAAAATTATTAATAAAAGCCTATCAAGTCTTTTTTGGCAGCGTGGCCAAAAAGTCAAAGAAAGCTCAATTATAAAATTTTAAGGTGAAATTTATATGTAGACAGAGCAAACAATATAGACACATACAAACATAGTGTATTTGTTGTAAAGCGTATGTATGTAGGTCAAACTTACCCGTTAGATGTTGTTAATGGATGATGCCATTTTGAATTCAAAATTGGTTTACAAATTATAAATAAAACTGGAACGAGAAGAAGTAAAATAAATTAATTTTCATTATCGCAAAGTGTGAAATATTAAATTATAATGAATTGAATGTATTTTTGCACTGAATGCAAAAACATATAGTTTATAAACAAATTATTCCTTTCAGGATTTTCTTATAAATATTTGCTTAACTAAAAGAAATGTAAAGATTATAGATTTTCGAGAACAGTCCTACAAGACGCGACTAATCGAACTCAAATACATTGAAATAATTTCTCTTGGACTCAAACACTTGCGCCCACACGTGACGCTTCAGTTTGTAAGAAAGAAAGGGATACAAGATCACACATACACAAGAGTTTCAAGTAGTTTTGTCAACTTGCAGCATAAACAGACGGTAGCGTTGATCCGGATCAACTTGGGAATTAACTGCAATTGATCCGGATTAAGTCCGAGTTGATCCGGATTAAGTCCGAGTTGATCCGGATCAACGCTGCCGTGTGCTTATGCTTTTGGCCTTAAAAAACTCGTAGAAACTTTCATTGAAATCTATGGTAGAGCACTCGGTTAAACCAAAATTATCAGTATGGCGAGCTGAGTCGATTTATGTAGCCATATTTGTCTGTCTGTTTGACGTTACAACTCCTGCAACTGCGCGGGTAAGACATGCAAATTTAATTTTTATTTTTTGATGGCTACTTTTCCACCAGGAGCTGTAACTCTATAAGTTATGATCGGTCGAATTATGGTGTAGTACTGCAGTGTGTGGTATGCAGTCTCCACGAGGCACAATATTGCAAACGCCAAATTTACTAAGCAAAGGGTGTACAGCCTACAATTCTTGATGGAGTTTATACTTTTTTAAATTTAAATATATATGTACATATGTAGTTAAATTCATAAGAGCCCTTCAACTATTTTTGCAAATTTACTTTGTTTTCGAAGTTTTTTTTTTAACATAGGTGAAAAAATCACACTTTCCATCCGAATAACTTTTTTTTTGAATTCAAGGCCTCGATTTAAGGCGTTAATTGTTTATGTGTCTAACATTTTTTTATATAGTACATACACACTTATATATCGCTACCTAAAGGTGAAACGTGCCAAGTCCACTTTTTTTATTTAGTTTTTGATGCAGAACAATTAAAAAAAAATGAACTTGTCACCTTTTCACCTTTAGGTAACGATATGTTAGTTTTAAAAAATGAGTTTACAAACAAATCGAAAATTTCCCCTTATTGCAAAAAAAAACTTTTTAATATTTGTAAATTATCTCCAAAACCTCTAATTTTGATGAAAAATGAATTACGAACAAAATAAAACAAATTCAATTACCTTTTGCTTGATATACCTCTTATTTTAATCGATTAACAAATTCTCCGCATATTAGAAATTTTTATATCAACTTTTTTCTTTACTCAAAAACAGTTAGATAAAAACAAGTAGATATAGATTTGAAATTTTTGTAAAAGAATTTAGTTTTATTTCAATAAAAAGATACAAATTTTAAATCCGTCATCCGGCAGTAGACCTTACTTCGCTGTTGCACCACTATGCGACGGCACGTTTCTGTTTTAAATTGTGAAATTGGGATTGTTGCTTTTATTTATTTAAGCATTCAATCTGCGTTGGTAAACTTTATTTATTTTTACCTTTGCCCTGCCGTATAAAGATGCAGAAGGCCTTCCTGAGAGACTTTCCTATAAATACATATGTGTCGGGGATGGCCTCTTATGCTGCTAGAGGGCAAGTTATAATGCATCTTGTTACACTGGTGCATTCCAGCCTCTGAAACCTGGATAGAACTCTTCCAACTGTTTTGAAGGTGGCTCTCTCTGAGCAGTAAGTACATATGTATATATAAACGTAAAACGTTTTTGAACCTCTAAAGTTTTACTGATTTATAGAGCCGCATGAGCACGGTTTTAGTAAATACTTAATAGAATACGAGTTGAATAAGAAGTACTTTATCATTCCAGATTTTCTGAGACTTCGTTTCTAATACTTTTACTGTTATTATAAGAGTAGAAACTCTCAGTCATCAATTGCGATAGGAAAAGCTGCTTTGAGCGAGGTCAAGTCTTTTCGTACAGAAAAAAACTATTTGGAACAAATGCTATCAATATAAAACAGACATAATTCATTTCTTGAGCCAGAAATCTCACAAGAAAAGATTTCATCATAAACAAATCCAGAACCCCCTGCAACGAAAAAATCACATTTTAAAGATATATACAGCGACAAATTTAATGTCAATACACGAAGCTTAAAAGACACACAACGTCTCTCGACATATAAAATGTTATCTATCACTGCGCAAAAGAAGGCATGGCAAAAGAGGTTTTAAGCAGAGAGAGCATAAAAAGAGAACACAATTAACAAAACAGAAAAACAAGAAGAAACAAGAGACTAAAGAAGGAAGGCACAAAAAACCAAGTAAACAAATTGCAAAGTAAAACCAGAAACTAGAATCATAAATAAAATAAACGCAAACAAACGCATACAAAGGTCTGTATTTTTTTTAATACATGTGAAAAAAATAAAATAAAAACAACACAATAGATAAGCAGACAGCACAGCGGAACTGGCAAGTTACACCACAAACAAGTCAAAGACAAAGTGCAAACCGAGAGGCAATGAAAAGCAAAAGGGAAAGAAGCGAAAAAGAACGCAAAAAAGAAAACGCTGCAAGGGTAGGCAAATACAAAACGAGTCTTTCAAGTCAAGAGTCGTCGTACATATATATGGACATCCAAACAACCTGGGCACATACATAGATACATACATTTTGGTAAATTTGTAGTTGCCCCGACCAAATGAAACATGTATATATATATACATAAATGGGTATGTATAAATATGTATGTATATCTAAGTATGTTTTTTTTTTGTTTGCTTCGCACATTTGTAGACCCGCAATCGCTTGCACCTCAACCCAATGGACGACCACGACGACTACAAATGTGTGTCAATTATTTTGAATTTTTCACTCAAAACTGCCTCATACGGGCAGTGGCAAGCAGTCGGTCGTTGAGATTGATACTGGTAGCTGCTCTGGGTGGTGTTAAGAGTTAAAGGCTGGATAGGCTTAGTTCTCCTCCTATTACAGCATGCTAAGCGGAAGCATATAAACAAATGCCGAACTGAAATTGGCCAACACATGTGGAACTCTTGAAGAGACCAGTAGGAATTTTAGGCTACAACGCTAGTCAGAGCCACTTAGCACAATGATATACCTTTTATAAAGATAGTGAAGCTAAAAATTGGGATGAATTCAGCGAAAATTTAAAAAGAAAAGGTAATGAAAAAAATCATGAATGTTGTGGTCTAAAGTTAAGTTAGATTTTCGATCGCACTACCCCCAGACTTATGAAGTGCAATTTGCTATCCATATTTTTGTACGGTTGCTCCACTTGGAAAGCCACCATTGAAATAATTAGGCGCCTGCAAGCTTTCGTTAACCGATGTCTTAGAATAATACTCCGAATTTTTCGACCTAAAACAATCTCAAATGAGAACATCTTGATCCGGAATGGAAAGAAGACGGCAGTATTGCAAAGAAGAATGGAACTCGGCAGAAGCAGGCCCCTGGCAGATCCCGTGAAACGTGGCGAAGAACAGTCGAGCTGACGCAACTGGGAATAAACTAGAAGGAAATCGGCGTAGTGGAGTTCGAAATACTTGGAAAGGTGCACTTTTCTATTGCATTTAGATTTATACAGCGTAGGCCGCAGTATAGTGACCGCCATACAAAAAAGAAACGAACAATTTCTATTCTCTTTCTGGCTTCGAAACAGCTAAATCCTTTCAAAGAAGTATGCTTAAATTATGGGTTATTTTATATGTCGTTGCGAATGTAGTATGCCAAAATTTCCCATAAGAAAACAATCGTTTATTTATTAATGAAAGAAAAATTTAAATCTTTAAATTACCTACAGGGTTGAATTGGTTGGTTAATGCGGCGGCGGCGAAAGGAAGATTTTTCGCTGGATGCTGGTAGTAAAATCTAAATATCTAGCCATTAAATCGCTCTCGCGAAACTGTGCCTATTAACAGACAGTACGACAGAGTACGAAGAGAAGGCGAAGTAGAATTAAGCCAAAAGAATAAAAGTGCTAGCATACTTCTTCTTTTTGTAGCTATTTTTATTTATCGTGGGTCAGACTGCTTATATTTAACTACATACATACATACATACATATGTACATATTTATAAGCGAAGTGTTGTCCGTTATCTTTATAAGTACATACATATATACATACATACCTTATACAAATTTATACGCTATACCTAACCATGTACATACTATATACATGTGTACATATCCATACATATATTAACCTGTAAATATGTACGTTTAGGTGTATCAGACTGAGTATTTATTTCTGTTATCAGCTGAAACATACAAAAAATAACAATAAAACGTAAACACAAAGGAGAGCAAATAGTTAACCAAAAAAAAAAAATATAAAACTTTATAGCAAACAATAAAACAGCTGTTTTGCTGAAAATTTTACGAAAGCAAAGGAGTGAGCTGTAGCAGAAAAATGTTTTAAAAAATAAGAAGAAAATGCCCTGAAGCATAAAAAATTTTATCCTTTTCAAAGAAGCGTAGGAACATGACGACTGCCAAAGTAAATAACCCATAAATATGTATTTAAAAAAGAGCTGTGACGTAGACAGCTTTTAACACCACAAGACGTAGGTAGAGAATTACCGACCTAGCTGACAAATAAAAAGCGTTATTCAAAGCGCACAACAAAATCGCAAACCAAATAAATTTAAAAGAGGATTAAAAACCCCAAACCAGACTAAACATTTGCCACGAATGGAACAACCAAGGCACAAAGGTAGAGCAAAGGAACAAAACTTAAAAATAACGACATGAATTTTAATTGCACAAAACTAAAACAAAAGCTGCTTTTCTACCGCCAAAGTCTCTAATTTAACTGAAAAAGTATGCGATTAGCGCGGGGTTGAGTAAGAGGTTTATTTATGTACAAATACTTTGAGACTCGCATAAGTTATATGGTATGTTAAACCTTAAGATTTCAGCATACAATTAGGATCGTATTCTTTGAATAGCGTTTGTAAACGACTTATTCAAAATCGGGACACAACAAAAAGCAAAGCAAAAGTTTTCACATAAAAATTTTAAGTGGATGGAAGGTAGCAAAGTAAGAATTGGGTTGAGGTAGCTGATCAGTTAGCCAGAAAGGCTGCTGTCTCGACCCCGGTAGGACATGAGCGCTTCCTTGCGATAGGGCCGAACACGATAAAGGAAGTGCACAGAAAGGAAAATATCAAACTCAACGAACTGCACTGGCGAAACACAATTGGCCTTCGTCAAGCTGAGAGCTTACAATCTCAACATAAGCAGGCTACACATAGATCTCCCTAAGGAAAAGCTAAGCATTATTACAGGCATTTTGAATGGTCACTTGCATAAGGTAGGGAGGATATGGTGACTCCGCTAAAGAGACATCATTGCACCTCCTGCTGAAATGTGAGACAGTTTCATGTAAAATGGAGAGGGGCATAAGACATCTATGTACGGCCTTGGGAAGAGCACATACACTCCCTACCCCTGGAATCGATTTTGCAATTTATAGAGTTTGTAGGGCTAGCTGTACTGTTATGATGGTTTAAGTGTGCAATAGACATACATATGAAAACAGTTTTTTACGAAATAACGTTTTTATTTCAATAAATGCCCTGGGACAATGGCAAAATGGGCGCTCGATTTTTTGGCATCAAAGTTAATTGTAATGTTACTTTTGACCACTTTTTAATGCAGTTATTATGAAAGCATATATTTTCAAAAATTAACCTATTCACATCCCCCCCGATTTTTGTTGAAAACATATGAGCAAATCTCATGAGTTGTTACAATTTTCGACAAAAACTTATCTTAGAAAATGCATTATCTTCAGTGTTGTATAAAGAACAAGATTCCAATGCGAAATTTTATTAAAATTAAAATTTGAAAACGATATACTAAATAATAAAATTATAGCTTAAAAAACTATCAGGTATGTAACTTGAGAATGGAAATCGTTGCCACTTTTAGGCGCATCAATATTACATAGTTACATCCCGAGCTAATAAAAGGAAGGTAATAAAAAGTAAAAATAACCACTAATGCTCATATACCCGTAGTTGCGTATGTAAAGTATACGCCTTGTAGCACCATACACAGTCATTTAACAAGTTTACTCACACGCCTTAACATAAAAGTCCTATTATTTCAAAGTAATTAACTAATGGCGTGAAAATTTTTTATAAAAAAATTGTTTTAAAAAATTCAGTGCAACAGTGCATAGATAACAATATGAGTGAAAGAGAAAATTATGTAGAGTTAAAAAAATTCAAGTTTTTTTGATTACAAGGGCGAATAGGTAGTTTTTAAAAATGATGCCCTTTTAATTAATTCTATTTTTTTAACCTAATAAAGTTAGGATGTAATATTCAAGTACATATATTCAAGCATAACATTTTATAAGGACATTCTCAATATCAATTCGGCCTTATGCAACAAAAAATTTGACCTTTATTTAATTCTGCGAAATTTTCCCTTTCATTTGGCCCGCATTTTGTTATTCTACTTTGCATTCAATTCTCTTTCAAAAAATATTTTGAATTAATCATAGATTTCAAAGACATAAAATCCTAATCCTAACGTCACAGAGAGTTTTGCGAATATATTGATATTTTTTTTGTGTAAAATTTATTGGCGCACGGCAAAACATTTGTGTTTTAAATAAAAAAACTGAAAAGTAAGGGAATTCAGTTCACGAAATAGGCTGAATTGAGCTGAAAAATTTTAGATTTTCACCACTTTCTTATTAACTATTAATTATTTATAACATTTATACACACCCGTGATTGTTGTTTGCTGAAGACAGTACCTTGTAAACAGAATCTTTATGACAAATTTGATTAAGCACAGAATTTTTATTTTACTTTCTTTTTATAGCAACTTTTAACAGCTGCTACTAAAACACACTGACGCCACTTGATTTCGGTCAATTTTGTTGTAATTTCGAACACATATGATCGCTGTTGACCACGATTTTTGTTTTTTATTGCATCACAATGAACTAAATTTACCAAACAGGTATTTTTGTGAATTGCAATTCAATGGATTGCCACAAACGCAACTAATTTAAGCTTAATTACTGGCACTTGGAAAATAAATAAACACCTGTGCAGGTAGTTATGTATGTATGTAGGTAGAACTTGAAATTGTTGGTTGGACGTTTTGGTGCATTCATTGCAATTATACTTTTAAACACAGCACTTGATTTTATTCACAAGGAAATCGCTTGCAAAAATACTCATGTGATTGCATTGAAGGGCAACAAAAGGTTGTATTTGCAATTGTTTTTGTTTGTGTTGTAGCAAAATTGTGTGCTTTTGTTTTCACACAAGTACTTGCACAATTTTCACTTTTTATTATGTTATAAGCTGTTTTGTAATTTTTCACTGCACTGCATTTATTGGCACTTGAGTTTGTTTTTCGATTGCTGTATTTGTTGTTGTTGTTGGTCTTGTTGTCGCTGCTGGTGATGGCGGCGTTACAACTAACAAAATACGTTTGAATCCTTCTTATTCTTAACTTTGCCTTCACTTTTGGACACAGGTAAACTTCCATTAGTTTTTCCGTCTGCAGAGCCAACGAAGTTGTGATCTGCAACTTATCACGAGTACACCCCCACAGTAAAAAAAAAACAAACGAATGACTCTTGCAAGTCGATTGTCAAAGAAAATCAAATAAACGTATGACAGAATTGGCTGTCAAATGTATGTATGGGTGTTTAGATAAGTCAGCTGTTGAACGGCTGACTGGTTTTCGATTTATAACTTTGATAAGTTAATATGCACCGTTTATGTTTTTATTTTATTTCTATTTTCACTTCACTGTTAGCTGTTTTTCCGACCGAATCCAATGCGCGACTGAACGTCCAAGCGTCAACTGATGTTGGATTACCAGTAAAAGCGAATGTTTCTCGACAATCTGTGAACAAATTCGTAATCAAGCAGGCTGAGCAGCACTGAGTACTGAGTGAGCGAACGAGCGTACATAACTGCATACATATGTATGTATGTATGTATGTATATATGTATTTTTAGTATATGTATGTATGTTTAGTATATGCTGCTACAAATTGACCGTCAGGTACAAAAAAAAAAAAAAAAAAAAAAAAACGACGACAGGGGAGACAGAAAAATCACAAACCACAAGCACACACGCGTTCGTGTGTCGATAAGTTTTACAGCAATAACAAAACTGGTATTTCCTTGTGCTGCTGTCGCCGATCGCACTTATAACCTGCCTGCCTGCCTGCTGCTAAGTCCTAGGCGAAACTGTGGACTTGTGGTTATGGTAAAAAAACCTAGTTCTTCGCAAATTTCATAGCTTTCGGTTTTTTTGCTTTTTTCTTTTGTGGCTTTCAAATTGTTTTAATATGCATACATATGTATGTATGTATGTATGTACTAATCAAATGCAGCATTGGCGACACACCTCCCTCGAAAACAAGTACAAGTACATATAGTTTATAAGGCCAAACTGCGCTATCGACCGACTTCACTGCACTCAGCTGCTCTGTTACCGTTCCTATTTATTGCTGCTACCGTTGCTACTTACTGTTCACTGCACTTAATTTGCCTGCTGCCAACTGAATTTGTGTCGCACTAAATTGCGACTGAATTTTTCTAGATTTCCTTTCGAGCATGCATGCACACATGCACATGTAAATATGTATGTACATACATACATACATATGTATGTACGAATATCAAAATCAAAATTGTATTGAGAAAATGTATCTGCCACACGTAATATGTATAACGAACTAACTCGCTCACTCACTCAAGTTTCTGTGTATTGCTGTTGTTGTTGTTTGTGGCGTAAATATCACTTTTTGTCTCTGCTGCTTTTGCTTACATTTTTACTTATTGTAATGCCATTTAAGGCATGTAGGGGAGTAAAGTAGAGTAGGGAAGATGGCGAGCAGTAAGCGAGTTCACGTTGTGAAATTGTTACGGAAGATGGGCTGTTGGCACTTTGTTTAAAACTAGCAATCAACTGAACGACGTCGAACTGATTGCAAATATGTATATATGTCTGTATGTCTGTGTTTCGCACGTATTATGTAGATATTGGCTGGCAAGCGTATGCTCTGCGAATTCTCAACAACAAACTCCTTGCACCACGCAGCAGAAGACATCCAACGCACGCATATATGTACATACAAACAAACATGTAACACCACGGCCTCCTATCACCTCCACCCAACCGAACTCATCATCAACTTCTCCAGCAACATGAAACCCCACTACTTCACTGCACCGTTCTGTTCACTCACTTTTCACTGCTGCTGTTGCTGCTATTCAACGATGTTGTCACTTGGCTTGTATCTGTTCGACTGAATTCCAAACGCAACGAATTGACTTTCTAAACAGCTGAGCGTGCCCACAGAGCCAAAGCAAGTCGGAAAATTTACTCATATACATACATACATATGTACATATGTATTTATGTAAGAATGTATGTAGATGCATAAAACGCAATAAATGTATATAGGACTTGAATTTTACATAAAAAGCAAACCCAAACCCAATTACAATAACAACTTGGCAAACAAAGGGCGAAATCTTTCCATACAACTCGCAGAGAAATGCATTAAAAAGGTAACAGAAAACCAACAGAGCAATGAGCGCTACAGAGCGTACGCCACGTTGTATGAGTGCAAAGGCAAAATGGTAAATGTGTATGTGTGCATGAAGAAGACATTTTGCGAAGACAGAGGCGTAACTAAAATTACAAAATTGATATAAAATTAAAACAAAATTGAAATAGTAAGTTAATAGTGCAACTTTTTGTATACCATTTTCACTTTAAATTAAACCATTTTTAAATTAAGTGAAACTAATTCAAATTAAGTGAAACCATTTTCAAGTTAAATGAAACCTTTTTCAGATAAAGCGAAATCTTTTTCAAATTAAATGAAACTTTTTTCAGATTCAATGAAACATTCTTAAAAGCAAGTTTCGTTTAATTTGAATAAAGTTTCATTGAATCTGAAAAGGGTTTAATTTAATTTGAAAAAAGTTTCGCTTAATCTGAAAACGGTTTCATTTAATTTGAAAAAGGTTTCGCTTTGTTTGAAAATGGTTTCATTTAATTTGAAAAAAAGTTTAATTTAAACTGAAAATGCTATAAATAAGCTTTCTAAATATGAACGAAATCGTATACTGCGGCACCTATCGCAACATTTTCTGTAGAGTTATTCCTCTTCAAGTACGTAAAATACATATATTATCAATATCAACTAAATATCACACCACAGATACAGGTTTACGAAATTTACCACCGAGCCCGGCGCCATCTACCGACTAAATTTTAGGTAGGTAATATACATGCATTCCAAATATGAACCAAATCGGACAATTAATGCGGAGCTTTCAAATATCTCGACTGCTGCGCCGCCGTGACAGCAATGTTCTCTCCATTTTCATCTTTAAAAGGAAGAACCGATTCCACTGGCCCTTAAGGCAATAATTTTTGTGGATGTTACGGCGATTATAAGGGTGATACTTTAACTACCGGCAGACCAAACGAAAGTTCATACTTTCCCAAACAAGTGGAGACTTTAGAATCATAATAGCTAGATATCCTAACAGGGCGCAGTATGTTAATGGCACTCGCATTAAAAATTACAGTTACAGTTGAATTGGAGTAAGCAAGGCCTTGGAACACATTCTATGCCTATATCGTACCTTATCAAGAACAAATTTAAAACATTTTTAGAGGCTTAAATTTAATAAGCATGTAGACGTGTCAGTATTTCTGCTTCAACGCTTAAACGTTGGCATTTTGATGCCTTTATTGGATTTAAATACATTAATAATATGTAATAATAATTCATAAGCTATCTCTATTTGGTATCGCTAGGGACCAATCGATCTACATACATACATATGTACAGATGTAAGAAATAGTCGCAGGGGGACACAATCAAGAGGATGATATGCTGGATGCGATAGCAGTACGTAGCCAGTTGTTATATGTTGAGCTTACACAATTTAAATTTTCGTAACAATGTTTAATATTTCATAGTAAGTAGTTTAAGCTACAAAACCAAACCTGAGCAAAATGCAAATTTCATGCATGTAAAAATAGTGAACGACGCAATTTCGAGTGCACAGCAGATGAAACAATAACCCCACAACAAAAAGTATCTACGAATAAGACAAAGTCGCTATGGGTAAAGAACATGAGAGAATAAACAAATACATAACAGAAAAACTAAAAACGAGAGATCAAAAACCCCGGAGCAATAAAAGGCACAAATACCTCAATCTATACACTTGTATGTATGTACCTATCAACAAGCGCATAGGTAAAACAAACAACAGCAGCAACATAAACAACTACAAGCAACATGTTGCTTAATGGCAAAGTAAAACCAGTCCAAGTAAGAGCGTGTCAAGAGAGAGCGCAAGTCAGATAAGAAGCATGTATTTATGTATTTATGTATGTATGTATGAAGATAATATAAATTATCCTTGTATGTGGTGTGATATACGTATGTGTGTATGTGGTTAAGCAATGTTGCCTGGCAGGAGGCTTTGACAGATAAACCAACGGACAGGCAGGCACGATGTAGACATGTGAAATAAACACAAATCATATGGTTTCTTTGCAAAAGCAAACACACCTCCTAGTGTACTTACAAATGGGTATATGAGCACAGTATAGTATGTACATACATACATATGTATGTATATACAAACATATCTGCGCCGTTCAATTAAAGTAGCTTAAGTGACTTTAGAAGGTTTGACTTAGAATTAAAAAATAATCAGTTTCCCTTGAAAAGTTTTATATTTTTATTAAGATTTCTATTAAAAGGGCATCTTGAGCTACAGCTATGGCTAGTTAAATGTTAAAATATTGTTTGGGATCCCAATGAAATGTTAATTTAAAAGGAAAATAGACTATTCCGACTTAGGCTACTTTAATTGAACAGTACATATATATATATACGCAGTTTTTAAGTACAAAATGAGTTATAAAACTTTAAAGGTTATTTACAAAATACATGTAGCTACTTGTTAAACAGATGTATGTACATTATGTGCATATGTAAATTTATTTACAGCCTTCATTTAGTATTTTTTAACTTTGTACTTTTGTCGTCTTTTTAAAGCGAAGAAAGTTCTCTTTCTCTTTTTTTAAATTGTTCATATACAAATCACGTACATACATATGTATATAGAACGACAGTGTTGCCAGCTCAGTGAGATATTAAAAATAGTAGTAGAAAATTCATTCTTCGGGGAAGCAATTAGAAATTTTGAATTTAGATGCCAGTATTGAGAATGCTAACCTGCCCATGAAAACAGGGCCGACCACCCACCCGTTAGAATTTCAACAAAATTAGGTCTTGAAACTTTAGGCCACAGCGATCTTATGGTGGTATGATTTTTTTTTCTAATTATAGGAAGTGTATAGGACGGCTAATTAACCCTTGACCAGGCCTATACAAAAAATCCCACAATAAGTTGCATGGGGTCTCGAATGACCCCAAAAAAGGTTTAAAAGTGGAGTGTAAGAAATACGAAGTGTGTTTTATCAAAAATATTAAAGTTCTTTATTTAACTTAAGAAAACAAAAACAGAACTTTAGGCTTAGATTCAAATCTAAAAAAAAAA